GAAGTTGCATGGTGATACTTTATGATCCCCTAAATTATTCTTCACCTCCTTAGTACCGGTGGTGTAAATATCGGAAGGATCTACAGCTTTTAAAAAACATACATATATGTACAAGTTGATAACTGTCGGGAAAAAAAGTAATAAATATATTGATTATGTGAAGGACAAAAGAAAGAAAGAAATTTAAATGCATTTGACTGTTGGTTTGTGATGAAAAAGGCAGATGTGCAAAGGCAAGGACAAGCAATTAATTTAAAGAGAAATAATTTGGAAGAGGGTTGAAAATAGGGTTCAGTTTGAAGTCACAACACAGCGTGTTTTGATGAGGGGATGGCCTATTTTAACAACTTGGAACCAAGCCAGTATTTGGTCATTTCTGCTCACCTTGGAATTTAATCTTTACAATCAGGTTTGAGTGCTCAAGAACTGTAATCCGAAAAAAAATTACCGTGTGTACGGGACCCTCCCCATCAAATTATCTGTGTCCACTATTCTTTGGTCAGGGAGAAAAATCTTGGTTGTGGCCCCAGGGTGACACGGGTGAAAATTAGCCACGATTCACACTTAAAATTCTTAAACCCCCCACCCGCCCCACCCTTGAGGCACCCCTCCCCCAATATTGCTCTTTCCATGGGGCAAGTTCAACCCTGCTCGGGACCATGCAGCTAGGGTTGAAACTTGTATCCCCAGGGCGAGACACGTTCTCCAGGGAAAGAACTGTAGTGTGAAACAAGCAGGGTTGCGTTCACTCCAGGGCGAGCATCAGAGGGTTGAAAAAGACTCTGTCCTAAACACATGATTAATAAACATGAAATGTTTTGATGAAAAAAATAATTAAAAACATTGACAAACTTGACCCTCTGAGTGGCAATTCTAAACTTCTGCCAGCAATCTTTCCTCAGTCTATTCTGGGATATACGTTGCTCTCTGCGGAATTTGTTCAACATGCAATATCCATTAATGATTGACACTGGTGACGTACGTACATTTTGTCCCTCTTGGCTGAACGTGATGTTGGCTCTAAGACAGATCTGAAAATGTCAAGTACAGTAGCACATGGTCGTAAATTCCAAGAAGTGCTGAGGGATTTGTGACGCAGTATCAGAAAATTGTGTTTACATTATGCTGCTTGATTCATATAGTGCCAAGTTGAAATCTAGAAGAAGAAAAAAGAGGGAGAGGGTGGGGAAAGGGAGGGGGGGGGGGGAAGAGTGGTAGCAGTGTCTGGTCAAATTTTGCTCAGAACACATTCTCTAATGCTCATGGATGCATACCTATGTTCCCCAACACCTTTGTTCCCCAACCAACCCTAACCATCTAACCCTAACCCTGAGAATTGTTGGTAACATAGGTATTGGGGAACATAGGTATTGGGGAGCATCGGGAAGACCCCATGCTCACGGCCCTCTTGTACATGGTGCACTGTACCCTGGCTTCATCTCCGTCTCTGGCTTCAACCCCCCCCCCCCACCCCCACCCCCCCCCCCAAAAAAAACCCCACATAATTCTTTGCTCAAGATTACCATTCCAGGCTTACTATATCCCTATGAGCACAGAATCCTCAGTGGTATGCTGGCATTCAAACAAGCCAGATTTTAATATTAACCCAAGAAAACACACTAACCATAAGTGCAGCGGGGTAGGATTTCTGCCTTACGTCTAGCAGAGCCAACAAATTGATCCTGTACATGTACATATAGGCCTACATCCCTTAATAACTACGGTTAGTCAAAACTGTCTCTAGAAAAAGTAATGCTTAAAAATGTCCAAAAAATGACAATTCGTCAAATTACAAGTAGAATGTCAAACTCTTGACAGGTTTGAGTTTGTTGGCATACATCATGCCTTGCCGCATTTCAAAAAAAATGTGAGCTGAAAATATACTTCAATCATTGTTTGTCATTTTTAATATTTGGCATTTTTGATTAAATCATTATTCACACCGTAAACTGTTATTCATATATATCCAAAGAAATGAATTGCTCAGACTTTCTCACTTGTATTAAATTTGTTAGAAAAGAACTTGTATTAAATTTGATAGGAAAGTGACAGTGCCTTGGAGAAAACTTCAAAAAAGATTGCAATCTACACGAACCATCCTTGGAGTCATATGAGACAATGCATTCATTTAACCTTGCATGTGTGCCCTTGTGTAGTCACATGTAGTACAAGTTTGTACTTAACCATTGTATGCAGTAGTCTGCATTACAGGCATTGCTAATATTTGAGTCACCTTTTAAACCCTCATTGACTTTCAACAAATTTAAGTTGTACTCACACAGCGTGACAAATCCCTGTGGTAGATTTGCATTGTTGTTTATTAACGCTGTTCTGGAGATGCTCTGAACCATGAGGTTGTTTGTCGACTTTTGCCAGTGTAGTTTAAAGATAAATGCCCGAAGCTCTCCCCCCAAAAAAGTGATTTTTTTTTTTTTCTCCAAACAAATTTCAATTTTTTGAAAAGGGCTTTCATTTTGTCACACAAATAATGCACCCTGCCCAGCCGAATACTTGTCTGGCAACCAATAATTTTAAATTTTGTGAAAACATAATTCAATAGCTACTCGCACTTATTTCACTTTGAAAAAGTGGGAAAAGTATACACCAATGGGTTTTTTTTGGGGGGGGGGGGGTTCTAAGTCTCATTCAAAAGTGAATTACTTTTATATTGCTAGAAGAATACCAATTGAAAAAAAAAAAAATTTGTCAGTTAAACTTAACTTAAATCATCAATAGATGTTCATAAAACTGCCTTCATGCTATGTATTTTTACATATACAATGTAACTACCGGTATATATTTTTAAAGTTGAACAAGTATTTACTAGTAATGGTGTGCAAAAGCCTACCACCCAGATATTGTGTTACTACAAACCTCCCATTCATTGATCACGTCCACCATGTAAACGTGACACATTGTTTGTACTTAAACTTTCAAGGGCATACCCATTGTAGAGTAATTCTCATTCACTTTTTTGCTCTACCATATCTTCATGGGTACATTATACCTTTCTCAATCCTTCAAAATCCTACCAAACCTCTTGATAGATTTTCTAGGATCTGGGATGGTTTTAAGGTTCAAATGGTCATCTTGAATCCTGTGAGTACCTTTAAAGGGAATGTATGTACATGTACATCATTGGCTTTTGCTGTAAGTTTCAGAAAAGAACTATTTGAGGGGTTAGTATAATAGATCAAATATTGTTACACTGACATGTTTGAAGTTTTGTGTTCCAAAATGGTGGAAAAATCAAGAAAAACAAAAATGTTCAAGTAGTCTGGTTCCCTGACTCCTCTGAAGATGAAATGGATATATTTATAGATGCCAGAAAATTGTAAGGTAAGGGAACCAGTGTAGCTGGCCTGCATCCGATCATGAACATGTTACCAATAGCAAACAAAATTTTGACTGAAAAAAAGGTAAATTCGGAGCAGTAGTTGAATAATAGTTAGGTTTTTCCAACGGTGGTTGGCCGACCATCGTTGGAAATTTGTACAAAAATACCACTTTTCTTGAAAATGATTTCACACCAGGTGCCATAATTTTACAGGATGCTTAAGACTGTCATTTACCAACATCCTAGAAAGGTATTTTGTAAAAATTTGGTAGTTCTGTTTTTCGATGTTTGCAAATGTTGTATATTCCCTTTAAGCACTTTCATCTGATGCTTGACAGGGTGTTGTCATTTGAATACAATGTATTACTTCCTATTCGTGCAAAGGATCGGCTTGGCACGCTATTGCTCAGTTAACTGTGAATAAAGGTCTTTCCCCAGTCAGTGGTGGAAGTAGAGGGTTTTTTTGGTAACACTTCCCTATGATGACGTCATGTTTGGATTTATTAATTTGTGTTGTTGAAATTGGCTGTTATAATCCGAACACATGATTTGTTAACCCTAATCTAACTCCGAGGCCTTTTTTTCCTTCTGAATATCCTCTACAAATCCACCACTGTGTAAGAATCAAATGGCACTTGTTTGGGAAAGCATGTAGTATCCAGACGCCACTTCTTTGGTTGTGTGCAAAGTCTGTGGAGAGCTGAGTGCATTTTCAAGTGTTTTCTATCAACATTGGAAATGTTTCTCAGTCCGAGATTCATGTCTTTTCAACATTTTTGCAATGACTGACCTTCATTGAGCTAATATGGGATGAAAAAAGGGCATTAGGATGCAACATTCTTTCCCGTGTTTTTGCACTTTTTGAGCTCAATGTAAAGTAATGGTGGTAATTTCCTTTATATTGCAAAATTCCTCAAAATCCATCACCCCTTTGCAGATTTTGAGGTATCGAGGTGAACCCAAAGGTGTCTGAATGATAGGAAAACACAGAAATTTATCAATTTGATGAAGGAAATGTTATTTGTTTTTTGTTTGTTTAGTATTTAGAAGTTTCTTATTAGAAGATGTCATTGCTATAGTAACAAAAAAACTGGCAGTCTGCTTTTCTGTTTCTAAATTTATCAGATTTAAACAAATTATTTCATATGTGGCTGCTTGAATTCTATTAAATCTTATGAGATATTCTTAAAAAAATGTGAGTTATTGATACTCGGAAAAGAAGAGAAAACAGTAATGGAGGGTAACTAAGAGAGAAGAAACTGTCTATTTTCCATGCTTTTCTTTCTTATTCATTTTTTATCTCATTTATTTGTAATTGGGCGCCGGCCGCCCAAAATGAAAGATGTCTGGCTTTCATCCTTGCCCTTTGTTTCTCATCAGTTGCCTCTTAACCTCTATTGTTATTTTTTTCATTGGGCAAAATGAAAAACTTTTCAGTTGGGCACCCATCCAGAAACTCATGCTTGGTTCAATTCTTGTCTGGAATGTACCTCAAATGCTTTTGTTCTGCTGAAACACAAACCACCTGCATTCCAAATGTGTGTGGTTCTTGCATGACAAAAGACCCACAATCAATGATTCACCAGATGTATATATAGCTATTGAAAGCCCTCCAAATCTGTGCATACAAAGCTTGCCATTCATCCTTTAAAAGAAGTTCGTATAGGAACACCAACAAAGCTTTCTGAGCCAGAGGTAGCTTAGCGTGTTTGAGGACCACGTGGGGAAAAGTCTTGGTACATACATTGTAAGGTAAGTACAAAGTGTATTTAAGCTTGTAAAGCCTGACAGGTTTGTCGATGATTCAGTTGCTGTGAATTGATTGTTTCAGTATTTCAATTTGCATTTTTTTAAAAAGCAGTTTAGTAAACTGAATGCCAGCTCCTTATATTGTACACATCGTTAGTGATGAAAGATCGGCACATTTATGCTTCATTTTAGCTTGGAGTAAAAAAAACACACCACAAATTCAACTGTGCAAATTCCTATGAAATGTTGGATGAAAAGGCACCCATACAGTTTTAAATCTTATCTGTCTAAAGTTGAACATTTTGCTCAAGTTTGATCCATTCTGAACTTAACCCAGAATTTGTAAAACCCAAATCAGGATATGGATTGCTTTGCACTGATAACCTCATTTCCTCATGTCTCTGGGCAATTCTTACAGAGAAAAAGTTCTTGTTCTCCAGCACATCTCACTTATGTGTTTTTTTTTACTGTCCACACTTGGGGAAGAAAATACTTTGCGAGGTCATTGAACAAAAAGGTAAACACGCCAGTTTCCCTTGACCCAATTTTACAAAAAGGAAAAATTTCCTGTTCCCAATTTACTTCTAGGCATGCTGCCGAGTGCTCGCGCTCGTCACGAGAGTTCCTGCCCAACTGCATTTGGCAAACTACTCTGCTTCAAACTAATCCCAGTTTGCATCTGTTTTCCAGAGTTTCACACATTATCAAACAGGTGATGTCAGTGACCTTTTTCCCCCTCCAAGTTCACATCTGATACCTTCCGGGAAAAAAAGTTGGGATCGACCCTTCAACAATATCATTGAACTGGCCTGGCCATCATTCCAAGATCCAGCTGACTGTACACAGTGAACGGGCCAACAACCACTGCCCCATTTTATGGGTACCTCACCAGTCATTCACAAAAAAAATTGGAGCTGTGTCCCACGAGAGATCACTGACAGCAGGGCTCTGCACAGCATTCAACCTGGGGGCAAGAACAAAGATCAGTTCCGCAGTGTGTGTGCAGTGATGCTGTTCATAGGATAGTGCTACACCGCCAAACTACCGGCCGGCACCTATATAAAAGTGCACAGTCAGGACAGGTCCCCTTCACAGGAGCTCAAGACTGTTGATTCAGCGTGTCTGGAAAACTCAAAGGCTTCAGCTCAGAGAGAGAGAAGAATAAGCTTGATAGCCAGCTTGATAACTGACTTGGTGCGTCATAACTTCAAGAAGTTGTGAATTACAAACAGCTTAAGAGAGAAACTTTTTTTCTTCTGAACCTCTTCAGACAGAGCCTTGGCACTGAACCAAGTTTTTTTTTGATAACCGGGGCAGAAATCCGATTAAGTTTCTTCAAGACAGCTGGAATCCGCCACCGGTACTGCCATGAACTTCAGAATGGATACAATGCTCAAGTGTCTGGCTGTTCTGTGAGTATAAACTTTTGTTTTCCTTTTCATTTGCATGTTTTTTTAATAAGAGATGAATCGGTGGTGTAGTGGGGACAGGAGGGGGTTGCTTGGGTTATCACAACCCCCACCCTTGCCCCTGTTTTAAAAAAAAAAGGCTTTACTTCTGATTCTGAGCTGAATTCTGTTCAAATGACGAATGTTAAAAGGTTCTCAATATCTCGACTGTTTGACTGTCTTTCAATTTTTTGTTAAAATTGTTATGGTATTTTGCTTTATTTGTAGCTCCTGGCATTAGCCATTCAGTTTGATTTAAAACGTTACTGCATTGTACTTGAAATTAATTTGCACATATGACAAACTCCGAGAAATAATGTTCAAACATTTAAAACATGGAAATTTAGGAAAATATTGGATATGTGAGCAAAGGTCATCTTCATTTTACGTATAAATAGTTCATAGAGGGGGTGCTGCAGTTTAGGAGAGAAGAGGGTTCAGGATTGGCTAAATGAGCTGTGAATATATTCAGGCCTTTAATTTATCAATTTTGCAATTTTATCACTGAATTAATCGCACTGCTGCTACTGTTGCCTCTTCTGTATGACATTAAGTGTTCACTCAAAGATCGAACTGCCATAAAGCTGCGTTGTGCTTTTTTAATACTCTTAATCTCTTTAATATGAACTGACTTTGATTGTGTATTAAGTAATGCAGACATCCGTTTGATTACATCACCAGAAAGTGACCAAGGTTTTGTCAGGAATCAACTAAAATAGTGGGGACAGCAGAGGTGGCAGCAAGTCATTTTTTGCAAGTCCAAGTCAAGTCACAAGTCATTGTTGCAAGTCCAAGTCAAGTCACAAGTCATTGTTTGCAAGTCTAAGTCAAGTCACAAGTCATTAGGTCCAGTCACAAGTCAAGTCACAAGTCATTTGGTCTAAAAACAAGTCAAGTCACAAGTATCTTTGTCCAAGAACACGTCAAGTTGCACATTATTTTGTCCAGCTGTAATAAGCTAAAAGAATTAACCTGGCGTGAACTTACGAGTTATTTTGAACATGCCTCCTTAATTCCCCTTTTTCAATGTGTTGCAATTACTATTCTTGTAGTTTATCACATATCTGTCGGATATTAGCCCTTTGTATACTTTAATAAATTTATTTAACATTGTAGAAATAAATGTTGAGATGACCGTGAAAAAAAGACTTCCTCACTCGATTACATGTATACTAACACTTTATTGTTCAATTTTCATGTATACTAAACGCCTACCAATGGGTTAGGCTATCCGGTATTTTACATGCAATTGAAAAAGGCCTGCTTTCTTTTCATGAAAGTTTCCTTTCAAAGTTTGTTCAACCAATACATTAAGCAAGAGACAATTGGTCATTGAAAACTGTAGTTTGTTGTGACAGTCTTATTGAACACTTTTTAAACTTCTAGTGGGAACTATTCATTTTACTGGATTCAGTCACTGAGGTCTATTTTCTGGAATGAAAAAGCTAATTAAAAGTATAATAGCTTAATTAAAGTGTATTGGGTCGCTCGAGTAGCGTCTGACTTGGGTTGGTAACAAGTCATTTTTTGCAATCCCAAGTCAAGTCACAAGTCATTGTTTGCAAGTCCAAGTCAAGTCACAAGTCAAAGCTGGTATTTACAAGTCAAGTCACAAGTCACAAAAATAGCGACTCGAGTCCGACTCGAGTCCAAGTCACATGACTCGAGTCAGCAACTCTGGGGGACAGTCACTGCTTTGTACAGTTACCGCTTTAATGACACATGGGATGTCAATTCAATTTCAATGGGATCTGGAGTCACTTTATTCTGAAATGAAAAGACATCAAGGATTTTTTCTTCTTCAGTTTCCTTCCCTTCAATAAAATCACCTTGGATTGCTTTTATTGGTCCCCAAGGCTAAACGTGTGGACCATCATGTTCTTCCTTGAAAACAGTTCCCCTGCCTGGGATTTATTTTGGTTAAATTACCCAATTTAAAAAATGCTGGCAAAGTTGGAATTTGTCGATTCAGTTAATTTTGAAAATAGCCATTTGCAGAAAAGTACATGTACACAAAAAAGTTTTGAAGAAATATTGGCCACTTCTATTGTCCAAACAAGCTCTTTGACATGATAAACAAGTAAAAAGTCAAACTTATTCCAAGAAAATGAAGACAATTTTGATATATATTTGTACACAGAGCTATGGAGACACTACTGTTCTGCCTTGAATGACATCACGCTTTGGCTCATGAACATGGAAATTTTCATTAGCATCAAAAACTAAAACGTTAAAATTTCCCCCTTTTACTGCTACAAAAGAGGTGGAAAGTCATAGTTACATTGTACATGGCAAGAAAGCTGAACTGTAAATGTATTTCAGTCATAAAAATCCTATTGCCTGTTTCCTTTAAAGATGCATTCCTTGTGTTATTTTCCAGTTTTACCCTTACAAATATATTCCTTTTCTTAAAATTTGCTATTTTCCCAGCAAAACAAAAGCCATTCACCTTTGAATGAGACAAGGACCAAAGAAAAACTGGCCCACATTCATTTGACATTCACAATGTATTGATTGAATACTTACCAGTACCTTACAAGTTTTGAATTACGAGTGGCCTGACAATGGTTCCATTCTGGCAGGGTAGGCTGGTTCCCACCCCACATTCAGTATTGATAGTGTATGGACCAGGAGCCAGTCTGCTGACAAGGCGGTCTATTTGTGACCAAAATTAAATTGTTTTTTTTTCAGAGAGTTGCAGACACCCCCCCCCCAAAAAAAAAAAAACAAAGAGGAAAGAAGGATGTTTTTGGTTGGAATAAAACATACAACTTTAAAATTTATTAAGAGCATAAAAAAGGTATTTGTTGTTTAGCACAGGGAATCAACTTTATAGGCCTAATACATGTACATGCAAGTATGTGATTGAAAATAGTGACTGCTCTTCTTTTCCATGGTGCAAGGGCAAGGCTGTTTACTCTAGAAGTAGCTTGATCTGACTACTCATTTTGTTTGGTTCACAATAGTGACCAATGGCCTTTACAAAACTAATCCCTGTCAGAGTCTTGTGTGTGTGTTACTTGTCATCAGCGGCTCAGTCTGGTACATGTATTTGGCTTGTTAAATTGTGTAGTAATAATTCTCCTAACAGCTGGGGGTATATTTATAGCTGTCCACGCAAGTTATCAAGTTATGGCTTTCCCTTGCCACATGACTTGAAGGACAAGTTAGTGTAGGTGTTGCTGTCTGCATTCAATCTTCAGAGCAGTTGGATAGCCCAGCTGAGTATTTTAAGGGATATATGACGCAGCAGTTGATATTTTGGTAATATATTACCCTGAAGCAGTGGCACCTGGTGTATCATAGTATACAAATACAACATGGTTTGTGGGGAAATAGTGAAAACTAATGACACCGAGGTGTTGGATGATTGGAGTCCCAATCATCCAACACCGAAGGATCATTTGTTTTCACTATTCCCCCCCCCCAAAAAAAACAACCACATGTTGTATTTGTTTTACTGTACCTCATAAATATTCATCAGGCAGCTGATGTATTTCATTGGTCCACTCCACCATGTTTATGATCGTGCAGTATTTTGATAAACTGAATTATTAATTTTAATTTAAGGAGACAAACAGAATAGAAAGTTAATTTTGTGTCATTTATTAACTTTAACAGTCACACAAAACACTGGATTTATTATTATTGTGTAAAATTTCACCTAGTTCCTCATCGGAAGACGGAAGACGCGGGGAAATAGTACAAACTTTCTCATGGTTGAGTTGCTCGAATGGACTCAATGAAATGCGGCGGTTGCCTGATGAATATTTATTAGGTATGGTAATAGATTTTGTCATTCTTATGGTATCAGCATAACTTGAGATTTTTTTTTGGGGGGGGAGTTGTCAAATTTGGCACATCTATAGAAAATGAGAAACCACCATTCAAGTGTGTACATGTGTTTTGGGGCTGTGTACTTTATCTTATGATGAATGCAGCTTAGAGGTAAAATGACTTACAAGTTACATAGGGGTGCTGACCTATGTTCCTTAATACTTATATTCCCCAATACCTACATGTGTATAGCCCTTTTCACACTACAGCCTCTCAACACGGGTTGAACTCATCCCTGGGCGAACCCAGTGCCGCCCCGGGTTGAGTTTTTTTATTTTTCAACCCTGCTTTCAACCTCGCATTGTTTCACACTTGTTTCATGCAAATCAAGCTTATCATGCTCAGTTACTACTGTTTTGAACCCTGACAAGAATTTCAACCCGGGTTGAAAATCTCAACCCTGGTCTGGAGCAGGGTTGAGTTCAACCCTGGGCGAAATCAATCTCGGGGTTGACGCAGGGTTGACGCAGGGTTGAAATTCTTCAAGTGTGAAACGATGCATGTTTACAACCCTGCGTCAACCCTGCGTCAACCCCGAGATTTGTCTAGTGTGAAAAGGGCTTAAGTCCCCCAACCCTAAGCCTAACCCTAAGGATTTTGGGGAACATAGGTATTGGGGAACATCGGGTAGACCCCCTTAGTACCGGTACATAGTACACACCAAGTCTTCCCCCATATGCTTTTTGTTTTGAAGAAGAAGAAGAACAAGAAGATGTAGAAGAAGAAAAAGTAACAGTAGAAATCTGCCTGAATCCTAACAGTGCAGAAATTTAGTAAACACAGATATTGCTTATGTGCAATAGCAAGAAATAGTTGAGAACCAGCCACTCGTAATGTTATTTGAATGGCAATTTGGATGGTAGCCTGGCTTAGTGTGCCAAAGTATGATCAACAAATTCATGGACTTAAAACTCCACGAAATAATAGGCTCCCAGATGCTCTTAGCATTGACAAAAAAAGTTTAATTGCTCTACACTTCCAAATTCCCAACTATTGGCATCCCATCAGGAAGTGGCGTGCCGCTGACAGGTGTTCAAATGGGATTTGCGTTCCCCCCATTCTGCCCTTGCGCAAGTAAAAAAACACAATTGTTTCCCCCCAACATCAGTGTAAACAATAACATGATG